TACACTCCTGTATTCATAGCAGCACAGTTACTGAGATATGGAAACAAGTGTTGGCGAGGATGTTGGGGAAAAGGTACACTCAAACATTGCTGGTGGGACTGCAAATTGGTGCAGCCAATATGGAAAGCAGTATGGATATTTCTTGGAAAACTGAGAATGGAACCACCATTTGACCCAGCTATCCCACTCCTAGGCATATATGCAAAGGACTTAAAATCAACATACCACAGTGATGGAGCCATATCAATATTTATAGCAGCAATAGCTAAGCTATGGAACCAACCTAGATGTCCTTCAAAAGATAAATGAATTAAAAAAAATGTGGCATATATACACAATTAAATATTACTAAGCAATAAAAGATAATAAAATCATGGCATTTGCAGGTAAATAGATGGAATTAGAGAAGATAATGCTAAGTGAAATTAGCCAATCCCAAATAATCAAATGCTGAATGTTTTCTTTGATATAAGGAGGCTGATTCATAGTGGGATAGTGTTAAGGTCTGTAGACAAGTCAAAATAACACCTGGTATTTTGCCAGAGAAATGTTAGTTCATAAACAAGTTTGGATGGTGCCTGGCAAAATGCCAGAGGGAGTGGTTTGAGAAGTAACAAAAGTGAGCCATTAAGTGTGGAGAATCCTTATTGGTTGACTGATGTATCTAGTTTATGCTAATTAAGATAAGCTGTGCAAAATGTATAAATAGCTCTGTTGTCCTACAATAAACAGCTCCTATTCCTGCTGTATCAAAGTAGAGAAGATGTTCGTCACCCCCTGGTAGGATAGGGAGGGGAAGGATGGGAGGAATAGAGGAATTCTAGATAGGGAAGAGGGGTTCGAAGGGAAGGAAGGGACATGGGATAATTACTGATGGTGGAATGTGATGCTCATTATTATCCAAAGTACATGTATGAAGACACGATTTGGTGTGAATATACTATGTATACAACCAAAGATATGAAAAATTGTGCTCTATATGTGTAATAAGAATTGTATTCTGCTGTCATATATATAAATTTAAAAATGTTAAAAAAAAGAATATTCAAAAGAAATTTTGTCTGTACTGAGAATGAACAGGCTTTCTTCTTGTCCTTATTCCCTAAACAATTTGGTATAACAACTATTTATATGACATTCACATTCTATTAGGTAGTAGAAGTTAACTAGAGATGATTTAAAGTATATGATGGAATGATTTTTAGAAATCATATGCAAAAACTATACCATTTTATATAAGGGACTTGCACATCCATAGATTTGAGTATCCACGAAGGGTCATGGAGCCAGATACAGAATAAAACAGTAGTTCTCAGGGACAAGCATGGGAGCAGAATATAGGGGAGAGACTGGTCAAAGAATATAAAGTGGCAGACACTTAGGATGGAAAAATCTAGGAGCCTAATATACAACACGAGGGCTATAGGTAATAACATTGTATTTTATTAGAGACTTTTTGCTAAATAAAATTTTATTCACCCTTATTACAGAAATAAAAACAGCTATGTGAGATGTTAGATGTTAATTTGCTACACGACAGTAACTATTTCACGATCTGTATGTATCCCATAACATCATGTTGTAAGCTCAAATATACACCAGACCACTTATTTTATAAAAAGAAACCATGTCCAACGTTGTCCTCCACAGATACATGATACTAACATAAAGAAAAGCCACGTGACTACATGAAGATGGCATGATAAGACAAAAGTTATTTTGTTTTGCTAGATTTGTTTTTGTTTTAGTGGACAATAGATATGAATATGTGGGTAGGCAAAAAAGAAACTAGAGTGGAAAGAGAGACGAGGGTTGACTGGGTTCCTTGGGGACTTCTACCAGTTTTGATTTCTAGCCATTTGTAAGTGGGTGTCTGGGCTTGAAGGCAGCCCATGCACTTATCCAGCTCACTTTGCAATCAATTGGGTGCTGCTGCGGGGCTTTTTAGCCAGAGGATTGTCCCTGTTGCAAGTGTCTGGTTTCCCTATCCTCTCAGGTAGAGAAAACTCAATACATAAGACAAAAAAGAAAAAAATGCTGGTTTTTCTTATGTGAGGGTTGAGCACGTGTTGATCCATTTTTTTTCCATGTTGAAAATATGTTCTGGGAGTCAAACTGTCCATAAACACATACAACATCAAAGTCTATCAAAATGTGTTTAGAGCATCAGTGAGGAGTTGGCCAAACCATACCAGTTTAAGAGAGATCTTCAGAATGCGTACTTTAGCAGAGGGACTTCTTAGTTGACCGGAACCTGATACATGTCCTCAGCACCAAACCCACCAGAATAGTTCTACTCCATTACACTTCTTTAAAAAAACATAAAATCCCTTCTCCATAGACACGTTCATTCAACTGTCATACATAAGAAACAGATCTTATCTGTTGGTTCAGTCAACCATCCTGTAAAGTCCACCATGTCCATGTCATCAAGAACCCTTACCAAGCCTGAGAGGCATGACAATAAGAAATGGCCTTTTGAATACGTCTTTACACTTCACCAAGCGTTTGCCAATAAATCTTAATTTATATATTTAGTTTTAATTTGTCACTTAAGTCTGGGTGAATGGTATGATCATCACGATCACCACTTTTACAGAGGAGAAAGTTACTTCAGATAGTTTATGTGATTTGCAAAACTACATAGGTATCAGAAAAGAGCAAATGTGAGGGGAAAGGTGGGATTCCAATACCTGGCACTAGACCGAAAGACCACTACAAGGTTGCCCTTCCTCAGAGATCTCCTGAGCGAGGAATACATATGGGAGGGAAGGGCAAATGGGCTTGTGAGCTTAATTTCTTTGTTCTCAGCTATAGCAGGCTGTATCACAATGCTGAGTTCAGGTAAAAAGGAACAGGGGAGATCAGAGTCCAGTTATTCAGGGAAGGACCTATGTTTGCTCTATTTGCCGTGAATAACTAGCACTAGTTCAGACTACTTCCTAAAGATGCTCTTCTGGCCAGTTTGACTTATGGGTGATGAGAATTCAGAAAGAGAGGTGATCTGTTGCACCTTGAAGCTGTGAGCTTACGACTCTGATTGACTACAGGCAGAAAGTACCTGGGAGAGTCACATGTGCAAACATGCACACACATTTGTGTGTGCCTATGCACACACAAATCCATATAGATGTGTGTATACATGCACATGAGCACATACAAATATATATAAACTTACATATAGAAACACACAAGACTGTGCATGTACATGTATCCACACAGCACACATAGATGCAGACATATACACTCACATGAACACACACATTCATTCACGCTGCCACCTGAAAACTTGGATTTTCTCATACATACCTCACCTGTTAAAAGTTGCACTATGTCTACAATCTGACATAGATTCAGATTTTGTTCTCCCAGTGATGGATGCTAGATGGAGTCTGGAAGGAGTATTTCCTTCCCTGTGGTGTTACAACCAAGACAATAATCTAGATCCTCTAATTTTTTATTTTTTTATGGGGCCAGTCCAGGATGGTATCAGGGATTAAAAAGAGGGGTATATTACCACTGAGCAACAACACCAGTCCTTTCCATTTTTTAAGTTTCGAGACAAGTTCTCACTAAATTGCCTAGGTTGGGCTCAAACATATAATTCTCCTGCCTCGGCCGCCCAGAATGCTGGGGTTGTAAGTGTGCACGATGACTCCTGGCTAGATCCTTGACTTTTTTGACAAGGAAGTTCAAAAGAAGTAGAATGCAGGGCCTCGGCTTTGAGGAATGAACAGTAGAGAAAGGAGACAATCTAATCAAAAGTGAGCATGGCACAAGGGGCCCATGAGTACACCACTAACCAGCAGTTTAGGAAAAGGATTGCTCTCTTTGAACTTAATGAATGAAGACGGCTTGTGGAAAAGATGGGCTTTATTCTAGTGTCTGTCTCACACCAAAGGGGACAGTTACCATCTCCTCAATAAAGAGAGCATCTTCCCCAGGGATGGAAGCAGCCACAGTGGCCATTTTTTTTTTTACCTTGCAGAATGCCCCTTTAGAGTTTTAGAAGGGAGTGCTCCTTATTCGGGAAGCTAAAATAATAGCCAAAAAAAAAAAAATGTAAGTTGGAAAAAACTTTCCCCTCCTGGAGAAAAATAACCCTGACAGAGTTTGGCACAGAGTTGGGGCTAAAGCTCTAGACATGCAGTGCCCTAATCATCCGCAGGCATTTAAGGACCAGTCGTGTGCTGGAGGATTCTAGGAAGTAAACAGGGATAGGATCTTTCTCCTCCCAGGGGCCTCCTCTGCCCTTTTCTCATGTGCCCTGACTAATTGTCTTAGTAGGTGTTGGGTCAGAGTCAACAAGGGATCTGATTAAGGTCACCCACTTGCTTTGTTTACACTGCTAATTTTATCACCGCTTGGAAGGCTAATGGTATTATTTCTGCTTTAACTATGATAAATGTCCAGTTGAAGCGGGGCTGGGACAAGTTAAAAACCAATACAGCAGACCCAAAACTTTTTGATGAGGGGGATATTGATGTTGCCAAACTCCCTATTCTTCCCAGAATCCTTTTCTTGGTGATGGTCGGTGTTGTTCCTTCCAGCCCAGGACTTCTCTTGCTGTAGTCAATCATCCTCAGAATCCCTGTTTGAGCTTGAGGATAGAGCCTAAAAACCCATGTGGTTGTTTCTGTGCTCATTGAAGTCAGAGGAATTCTGATATCTCTGTGAATGATTCTGTCAGGTGCTGGAGAAATGACGATTCAAGGAAATGACTCAAAGTCCAATTGTGAGCTACATTTCAAAATCACCCATTTCTGTTTAAGACTTCAAAGGAAGTTGATGGCTTGAATAACCTGTGTTATTGAATGGTGCTTGTCAAACGTTAATGTAGGGGCTGGGGTTGTGGCTCAGTGGTGGAGTACTCGCCTAGCATGCTTGAGGCACTGAGTTCTATCCTCAGCACCACATAAATGTAAAATAAAGATATTGTGTCCACTTATGTATACATAAGTCATCTGGGAATCTTGTTAAAATAGATTCTGTTTCTAAAGACCTAGGGTGAAGCCTGAGATTCAGTATGTTAACAAGCTCCCAAGTGATGGCGATACTGCTGGTCCATGGGCCACACTTTAAGAAACAATTCAAAAGAGGATAACAGAGAATCAGAATGTGGTTCAACATATCATGTATTGTCTTCGTGAACATCCTGAGGTTTGTCTTTCCACAATCCTCCCACTCATGGTCTACACCCCCTGAATGCTTCTTGAACAAGCCACATGATCTCCTTCTCCAAGTAAGCACTCATGTTACTCTCCTTTCTAGAACGGTTTCCTCCTGGCCAATTAAAGTATAGAACTTCAACCCAACCTTCAAAATCGATCTCAAATTATTCTTGCCATATAATCATAGGATGACTTGCTCTCACCCTGGGTGAACTTTTATAACGATTCCCTCCTCACACCCTGCCATAAATAACAGGTGAGGAAACTATACAGTGGAAGAGCCAGAGTCCCCTAACTCCAAAGTTTTTATTGGGTTTCTATGAATTTCAAACAATTTCAAGGTAAAGAAATAAAGTCCAAGAGCTAAGTGAATGGTGAAGACTGCAGATGCTAAAGGTGTTTGGGGTTGAAGTCTTTGAGGGATCATGAAAGCAAGTTAGATATGATCCAATGGAGATGC